AGAGAAAGGAACCTTCTCCAGGTTAGGACATTCACTGTGGACCCCCCAGAGAAGCACATTTGTATCAATTAAAAACCTCAATTAGTTCATGTGCAAAATTTTAATTTCTGTATAAAGTTACATGTTAATTTTGCAATTTCCTGGGAAACTTTGCATTGATAATTTTTAGTAAATTTTGGAATTTTTTTCTGTAGATTCTACACATTTTTTTTTAATTAGGGTAAAATACAGGGTGTTACTGAAATCACCATACATGAGGAAGATGGGAACTTGTAGCTAAATACCTTTACTTACAAAATATTCATGACCAGCACACATAATATTTTGTAAATATTTTATAAGATTTTATAATGAATATTTTGTAAATGAAGGTCCATTTACCACCAGTTTCCGTTTTCCCGTGTAATGGTGGCTTTTGGAACACCCTATATACGTTACATAAAATTTACCATTTCAACTATAAGTGTACAGTTCAGTGGCTTTAAGGACTTCACACTGTGCAACCATCACCACCATCCACCTCTAGAACTTTGTCATTCTCCCAAACTGAAACTCTGTCACTGTGAAACAATAACTCCCAACCCCCCTTCCTTGGGAATGATGTTTGTGAGGTATCTTGAAATTAAAATGCTAGTTAATACCTCATCAGGGATATCCGCTCCCTGGGACATAGTAGTGGTGTGCCAGATAGAGTTAGTGCCTTGCATGGAAGACAGCTGCGGGAGGAGGTGCACAAAACTGAAAGCTAACACAAATGAACGGGGAAAATAACCACAGGGAACTCTTTATCACGGGCTGAGTTTCTCAGGTAGAAACTCCATTCAGAAACAATTGAATTTCCATAAGTAGAGAATTGTTTTGTATAAACTATAGTATATCCCCACAGTGGAATACTATGTTCCTCTAAAAAGAATTTAGAAATACCTCTGTATACTAAAAAAGGGTGATCTTTAGGTTATAAAAGAAAAATTTAACAGCTTCATTGAGGCATAGCTGATAATCCCAAAACCCTCTGTTTAATGTATACAATTTGATGAGATGCAACATGTGCATCTGGTGATAACACTGCCCAGTCGAGGTACTAAACAGCCCTCACCTGCAAAACCAGAAGTTTCCTGGTACCCCTTTTTTCTTTTGTGTGTGGTGGGAGGGTAAAAACATAAGATCTATTCTCTGAGCAAAATTTTAACTGTGCAATACTATATTGCTAACTATAGGCAAAAATCGTTTTATTATAGTCATTACTTATAGTAGGGAGAGGGCATGACATAGGGGACAGATTTGAACAATAAACTTGTCCAGTCTCATTTGCACTATAGATTTGGCTTTAGAACCATGTAGATATTCATATAATTATTTTTTT